TATCGAGGCGGTAGTGGAGCGCGCCTTTCCTGGTCATTGGTTTTGTGGCTGGTGTGACAAATTCCATGCCTGGGTCGCGGAAGACGGGCCAAAGAACCAGCAATACTCAAGAAAGAGAAGAGATTGTGCCGACTACAACAGCTACTTGGATGCTGGAGACGGCTACAAACTACGCTTTCATCACGTTCGACTTGCCATGAACCGCGCATCACGGGGAGACGAACACGGCATTCCCTTATCTGCGTTCACTTACGAGAAGAAAGACATGGCACGCATCTCCAGAACACCCGTTCCTACTAAACTCACCGTGTCCGCCAGGATCGTCAACGGCCGATTCCTGTTGCACAGTTCTTATGCCATTGTATTGCCCGCTTTTACGACGCGTAATCGCAACCTTCTGAAGTCGCTCTGGCCCTTACTCCCACATATCGTCACAGGCCACCGCGATACTCCAAATGGCCACACGGGTATCATGGCCGCCATCGACAATGTCATCCGCCGAGGCTGGAAGTACCAGTTCACGCAGAACTGCTCCACTTGCGCGACGGATTGGAGCGTGACCAGCCAAGACTTCTCGCATGCTACAGGCGGACAGGTCAGGTTGGTGGTGCAGAGCTGGCGGGATCTGGGTACGGGAAGGACGCCGTTCGAGACAGGATGGAGAGCGCATGGCGTAGGAAGCTGTGCTGAGGGTAGTGGGGCCAACACTTGTCTCGTGAGACTTACCAGCCGACCTGCGGGATCTGTCAGACGTGCGTTTGAGGCTGCGGAGGTGGAAGATGGGTCGAAAGAGGCTACTCACCCTGGGGTTGTGGCGGCTAGCAGCGCACCCAAGTCGCGAATCTATCGGTCCTTCATGAGGAGGAATACTTCTGAAGAAGGACCCGATGAGATCAGACGGTCCAGTGCAAGACCGAGGTATTGGCGGACGAGAGAAGAGAACGAAGCGGTGGCTCGGAAGTACGCTGAAGACACACGAGATGTTGCGAGGGATGTTGCTGAAGAGTTGATTCGGTTAGATGCTCGTCATGGGCATGGAATTTTCTAGACGTTCTTCTGGGTTTCCAGGCCTATTTAGCATTCTTTGAGTACCTGCAGCCGCTTTTCATTGCAAGGATGGTACTGAGTACAAGGCGTGGGTTTAGATATAGACATTTTGGAGTTGGGCAATATACCACATACCAGGCGATATGCCTACACCATGGAAGAATCTTGACTAGATGGACTGAACAGAAAGAGGCTCGTAAAGAAGGAAAATAGTTCGAGTGATTACTTCCATATGTCTCGACCTCGGAAGGTGCGGGGGATACGCTAGCCTTCTTGAGGTCTAGGCCTTTGGACCCTTCTAAGCTGGAGGTTCCTGCCGACTTTGGGGGCTGTCCAACCTCCAAACAATATCGCAACCTATCTCCTTACTTACTAGATAGATACTTCTCACTTGCGATACACGTCGGAATACGGTACGTAGGTGACAACATACGAAAGGCTCAAGTCTTTGAGCTTCCAGAAGACCATGAAGACTACCGAGGTATGCGGCCAATCTATGCTTCAGGGGCTACGTATCTCACTCTCGGTTTCAAGCAGAGTGATGCAGATTCGGTACCAGCAAAGCATGTCCACTGAACTGCGCGTTTCGTGTCCCTGGGCCGTGTTGTGAGGTCACGCTGTCACGATGATTGCGGCTCAATGTGTTATACCCGGTCGCAGTATATGACAGCGCACCTGATTCGCTAAGCCCTGGAAAACTGGCCGCCCACCTGGATTGAAACCCCATGGACCTGTGATCGTCGAATACTGGTGCGGAGTTCATATCGAGAGGCCGAAACGTATATTGCACGTTGCTGGAAGATTAGGCTGAATCTCGGACGTCATGCACAACAAACCAGCTGGGAAAACAGCATCTGCATCTTTGGCTGTGCAACGCTACTTGGAGACTTTCCATAACCCACAATTCAAACGACGCGTTGATGGTCTGTCACAAGCTTTGCTTGCCAACGACCCAGCAGGCGGACAAATTCATGGCGAACCTTGGGATGTTCCGGTCTTGGCGAGCGGGCACCCCTGAACCTCAATCTATTCTGCACTAGCAGTTCGACCGAGAAATCCGGTCGATGCCACTCTGCTAAGGCTCAGGGCAACTTGATTAAGCTCTGAAATCCATAGCCAATTGTGGATGAGGGTCTCGTCCCGTCTGCTCCGGAAGCTTCGTTTTGCTTACAGGGTTCGGCGCTTCAACTCGGTACCTGCATTCCACCACGAAAGGACACCTGATGAAACTGCCTCAATGCTTCTCATGCGTTGCAACATAGGAATACAGACTCGCTAAACAGACGCTGTATATACCATTCGTACACTAGCCTGTCAAGCAACGCCAGTCATCATTGCTTACTACAACAGTGAGACTCGAGCAACAAAAGGAAGAGGGGCACAATGAAACCTACCTGACTGTGTCCTTGTGCCGCTTCTAGCGAAGTACGTATCTCAGTCTTCTTTCTTCTTATTGGATTTCACGCGCAAACCGTTACCCGGGAAAAGATCTGAGCCTCATGACCTCTGCTACAGATTAAGTGTGCCCCCCAGTCCGGAAAATCTTTCTAGAAAAGTCTCTCGTATATGCCCATGGATCATGGAAAAAGCAATCTATTCCTACCGGGTTTTGAGCTCACCGGGTGGAATTGCACAAAACAACGCGATATGGTCCTGAGCTGTACCCAAGGTACAACACACATTGGAATATACATCGTCGCCTATCTTCGTACTGTGAAAGCCAGCATGATGTATTCTCCTGGATGGTATGTGCACATGCGGTCACTCGTGACCCAGCCACGACACTGTATGCAAATATCAAGAACACAGCTACGAGTGCTGATCCACAGCTTTGCCTTCTCACATACGAGGCTGACCCATCATTGTCGAATGAGACGGAAGGCTAAGACTTGGCCACCAGTGAAGCCGACCGTTGATAGTACGTCTCCATATGCTCCTCCATTCGTCACTGCCTACACTATCTCTTTAAGGCAAAGATCCCGGGCGTGGTGGCGCACAGATCTCCGCAATACCCCGGACTACCCCACGATGCGGCGCAACAGGGCATACCTCATCTATCCTTCATTACTCTGGCACTCCTAGCGTTCTTTTGCGCTCCCGATGTTCCGTTCCTCTTACAGCATTGGTGAGAACAGCATAGAGGGACGTCAAGGGTGGAGATCTCCTGCACCTTGCAATAATCAACAGTCATATGGGTACTTCTGCAGAGTACTTTGATTAGTAGCCATGAGCTCAAGAATGTTGTATAAGAAGGTCAGCCCATCGCTCCAATACTTTCGACATCCAACAACATATCTTCACCCAAGAAGCCAAAATGTACAGGACACTCGCCCTCACCTCGCTCTCGCTCTTCGGAGCCGCCCGCGCTCAGCAGGCTGGCACATCGACAGCAGAGACACACCCCAAGTTGACATGGCAGACTTGCACTGGTACCGGTGGAAACAGCTGCACCACCAAGCAGGGTTCCATTACGCTCGATGCCAACTGGCGCTGGTCTCATGTCACCAATGGATACACCAACTGCTACGACGGCAACTCTTGGAACACGACCGCTTGCCCTGACGGCAGCACTTGCACCAAGAACTGCGCTATCGACGGTGCTGACTACTCTGGTACGTGAACATGTCTACGACACAACATGTGAAGCCCTTAGCTAACGATCTTAGGCACCTACGGTATCAAGACTAGCAGCAACTCTTTGAGCCTCCAGTTCGTCACCAAGGGTTCTTACGCTGCAAACATTGGTTCTCGCACCTACCTCATGGAGAGCGACACCAAGTACCAGATGTTCAACCTCATCGGCAAGGAGTTCACCTTCGATGTCGATGTCTCCAAGCTACCCTGCGGTCTGAACGGTGCTCTCTACTTTGTCGAGATGGCCGCCGACGGTGGCATCAACAAGGGCAACAACAAGGCCGGTGCCAAGTACGGAACCGGATACTGCGACTCGCAATGCCCCCACGACATCAAGTTCATCAACGGTGTAGCCAACGTTGAGGGCTGGAACCCGTCCGACGCCGACCCCAACGCCGGCTCCGGCAAAATCGGTGCCTGCTGCCCCGAGATGGACATCTGGGAGGCCAACTCCATCTCCACTGCCTACACTCCCCATCCCTGCAAGGGCACTGGTCTCCAGGAGTGCACCGACGAAGTCAGCTGCGGTGACGGCGACAACCGCTACGGCGGACTTTGCGACAAGGACGGCTGTGACTTCAACAGCTACCGCATGGGCGTCAAAGACTTCTACGGCCCCGGCATGACTCTCGACACCACCAAGAAGATGACCGTCGTCACCCAGTTCATCGGCTCCGGCTCCAGCCTCTCTGATATCAAGCGCTTCTACATCCAGGGCGGAAAGGTCTTCAAGAACTCCGACTCCGCTATCGAGGGCGTCTCCGGTAACTCCATCACCGAGTCCTTCTGTGAAGCGCAGAAGACCACTTTCGGTGACACAAACTCCTTCAAGACCCTCGGTGGCCTCAACGGAATGGGTGCTTCGCTTGCTCGCGGACACGTCCTCGTCATGTCCCTCTGGGACGACCATGCGGTCAACATGCTCTGGCTCGACTCTACCTACCCTACCGATGCCAGCCCTGACAAGCTTGGTGCTGCCCGTGGTACCTGCGCTACTGACTCTGGCAAGCCTGAGGATGTCGAGGCTAACTCGCCCGGCGCAACTGTCGTCTTCTCCAACATTAAGTTTGGCCCCATTGGCTCTACTTTCGCCCAGCCCGCATAAGCGCTCGATGGGAATGTTGGATAAGATGCTGGAAAGGGACTGGGGCTCGGTACTGTAAGAGCTCGTGGATTCCCTCCAGCTGTCCTCTCGTTTGGCTTCGCAACTGTATATACTTGTGGTGGATCTAGAAGTGTGCATATAGAGACAAATTGATTGCATTCGTTGTACTTGACGTATCTACCATGCTGTTCGCGTGTGTCGCCCCCTTGAATATCTAAAGCTCGGTCGCAAAGGCCTTCACTCGCTCCTTGACTTCATCAAAGCGCTTGTTGCCTTCCTCGATCGTCTGGTTCAATCCTGCCATGGCCCCATGAAGTTCTACCACCGAACGCTGAAGCTTCGATTTCTCAGCCACAAGAGTTGCAACCTTGTCTTTGGCAGTCAACGCTTCAGACTCCAGATCTTCGATAGATTCTATCCAGCCCGCTTTGTCTTGTCGCATAACGCTCATTTCCTCTCGCATTGCCTCGAACTCAGCAGCGTATTTGGCATGTGCCGCCTTTTCGAGTTGAACTTTAGTTTGGTCATGTTCGCGTTTGCGCTCTGCGAGTTTGTTGCGTAAGCTTGTGTTGTTGGTTTGTAGCTGCTTGTAGGCCTCGATGAAGGTAGCGAGGTCGTCGATATTCTGCGAGTATAGTGTCAGCGTGTTGCTCTACGAAGTAGTCGAGTCGTATGCGTAGTTACTGGTACGCTGCCATCCACTTCGCTCTCATCGCTCGTATCGCTCAAGCGAGCTTTTGCTGATTTCTTCTTCGCCATGCTCGTGGTCGATGGATTTGAGTAATCGTTTGGATCGTGATATCGAAAGTAAGTTCACTACAAATCGTTGTTGACAGAAGGTGGCTGCGCTAAACAAGTTGACGAAGAGGCAAACGCTCACATGAGCGGTGAAAGTGAGGGCATCGCTAAATTTCCGCGCACCTTTGCAGCTCACACCAGTCGAAAATGATCCAGTCAGCACTGTCATGTGTGACGATAGAAGCCACGAGTCGATGACCGATGACTAGTTACTCTACAGTCTAGGGATACCAATTTGAGTACCGACCCCTCGTAAGCTTTCTGTACTGATCCTCCACATCGCGCCCATGTTTCCATTGTTCCCGCTCCCGTCCGACTAATGCAGACAAACCCATATTCGTCGCCTGATATGTCTCGGAGAACAATGGAAAGTCGTTGCACGTAACAACTTCGATGCATCCTTGAGCACCAATAACAGCATGCTTTTTCGACCTCAACACCCTGTTCACACGAATGTTCTCGGAAACGCTGTCTTCGGTGTAATGTCGCTCGTTCTGTTCAAATTTCGGGTGAAGCATGGGTAGCGTGACGGTGACGTCGAGATTGGGACGAGTACTTAGTTGTGTGAGAAGAGGATCAAGGGTCGAGCGCTCGTTGACCACGACCCAGAATTGCGGCTCATTATGATCGAGCCACAAGTCCAGCTTCTTGAGAGCTTCGAAACGACTGAGAATGGAGCCTAAATCTTGCCAAAGCCGTGCTGGCTGCGTTGCTGGACCTATGTCTGAGGATGTAGGATAGTTGCCTGAGAGTCCCTCCACTGACTGGAAGAAAGCTAACGGAAGCTTGAGCGTGATACTCAGACGGCTAACATTCGATACCGGCATCTTGGCAAATTCGGAAGCGACTGGCATAGTTGCCTCCGAAGCTCTTGCCCAGTAATCGATGAGGTCCAGGTCGGAGACATGGATAGTCGAAGTACGAGCAAGCAGATCGTACACTTCATTACGACTAGTGGCGTGAGCACTTGACATGAAGCCTCCAAGTGTACTCACACGCCCTTGAAAATGTTCAAAATATCGGGAATGTCCGTACATTCAGTCAACAAGAAGTGTGACAACGAATTGTGTTCCTCGCACGACCAGTGCAGACCCCAGGTTGACTGTAGACGACGGGCATACACAGACGTGGGCACGCGAACTTGCCAAGTTTCGTCGGTGTATTCAATGTCGTAACTAGATACATCGCCACGGAAAGGGGCACCGCCCTGAATACAGGCCGATGCAAGAAGCGTGCCATTACGGAGGCGTACATGAACGTCGTTAGGCAGCAGGTATGAGTAAATCTGATGCCGGAGTTCTATAGGTAGGCGCAACAGTGCGCTTTGGCTTTGCGGCATCCTGGCGGGAGAGATCCCAGTATTGAGTCTGGCGTAATGGAGAACGGTAGTGATGGCTTGTAGGTGCGAAGAATGTGACGTGCCCTCCTGTGAGCTGCGGCACAGCGATGGCTAACCCGAAGCAGCTAGTGTTGGCCTGGGGGAAGGAAGGAGTGCCCCAGGGCATTTCTCAATCCCCAAGGAAGGTTGGTTCTTGAAAGAACAGCCTCAGGTTATGGTCGAAGTGAGGATGCTTCATATACGCGGACCTCAGCAGCCTCTGAGATTTGACAAGCATCGTCTACCACCTACACATAGCCACAGGCTGCGCAAGATCGTCAGCATCACACCACATACCCGCGGACATGCCAATCATAAACATCCATAACAAAAAAATACAATTGCCTACCCTCGGCTACTCAGCCATCATCGCATAGTCTATCGAGCGTCTAGCCCATCCAGATCCAAGCTCACAAAAGAAAATGGTGTCGCATCCTCGTCCCCACTAGCATATATACAGTTTCCGTGGTGTTGCTGTAAGACTTCCGCCCATGTCTAGAGTCTCGTTGACTTGCTGAAAGTGTCGTTTTACTCCTTCTTGACGGTGTCTGGGTCTGCGAGGATACCCTCGGCTTCGAGTCTTCGTCGCGCCTCCTCTAGGGCCCAGGTTTGGATGCTGGTGAACTGTTAGTCTCTGCTCGACCAATGCATTGCCGTTGCGCTCTTCCTCCCACTTCTTCGGGAGCTATGCCCATTGCCCATTCATGACCCCTCCCTCCTGGTCCACCTCTTCACCCATCCCGCACCATCCCCGTCCATCTCCCCCCAACAAAAAATTCGCACATACCTAGTATCCGGCTTGAAAGCGTAAGCCACAACGCCAAACGCACAGGCTCCTCCAAAGCCCCAGTACATGGCATTCTCCCACCCCTCCTTCTCATACTGCTCGCCGGGCTTGACGCCAAAGAGCCATCCGGACGGGGGATCGTAGCTGGGTCCGTGACCTGAGCGCTTCGTTTGTGACTGTGAGAAGGCTCGGCGGGGAGCTGCTGTGCGAGCCGAAGCGGTGAGGGCGGTGCGCGAGGCGCTGGTCGCGGCGCGGACGGAGTTCATCGTGGTCTGCAGGCGAGCGAATCGAGGGCTGAGGTAGGCGCAGAGTGGTGTGGTAGGTCCCGGCGTAGGGGCAGCGGGTTGTGATGGGGGCTGATAGGTGCTTGTTGTCTTGATGTTAAGGTGAGGTTCCGCGTTCCCTGCGATTGCTTGGCGTGGCGGCGGCTAGTGGCGCCGGAGCGAAGGAGCAATGAGACGTGGAACTGCTCAAGGGCTCACAGGGATTGGTGCCAAAAGCCAAATTGCAACAAAAAGACCAAGTTTCGTCTGAGGAGTGTATAATTACTGCATATGTAAAAGTGTAGTATTTCCCTCAATGACGAATATGTAGTGTACCATCAGTACCTAGGTAACTGATCTGTGGTATAGGATCCCGCAACGCCGATGCTATGCAGATAAACCATTTGAACGTAAAATAATCAAAGCATGCCTAGGCATAAGCAGGTGTGCGCTTCTCCTCCTCGGGACCTTCCATCTCATCATCTGGCTGATGAAAAGACATCCTCGCCATGCTCTGAGACGCCTCATCGACCTGTTTCTCCGTTCTGCCCGCGTCGACAGCCTCCTTCTGCCGTTGCTCCTCATCTACAGCTTCCCTCTCCTTGCGCTTCTTCTCCACTGCCTCAAGCTCCGCCAGTCTTGCAGCGGTCTTCTCCGCCTCTTCCTTCTCGCGCTTCTCGCGATCCGCCTTCTCAAGTGCTTCGAACTCGTCGTCAATCTCGCCCTCATCAAGAGGCTGGTCGGTCTCATTGATGATGTTTGTGATTTCTTCCGTGGTCGCCATTTGTTCGTTGACGGCATCGACAACACCCTGAACGCCTTCTGCACCGCCAACCTTCTCGTTGAGACCTTTGAGGGCCGCTGCACCAGCCCGCATGGCCTCTACAATTTCGACCTGATCGGCAGCCTGCTGTAGATCGGTGTAGACTTGCTCGAGCTGGAGGGCGACATCAGAACGTTGAGCGAGAGCGTTTTCGGCAAGCTTCTTGGAGCGCAGTGCAGCTTTGGCGCGGACCATCTGCTTCGCAACTACAGCTTCCCGTGCGGCCGCATCTGCCAAAGCAATCTTCTCCATCAATGGCGGTATCTGCGCATTGATATTCGCTAGTGTGTCGCGAAGATTGGCAATAGCGGCGTCTTCTTCTGTGACAGGCAGGGGGACAGCCTCATGTTCTGGCTTGAACTTGATTGTCTGATGGTTGTGAGATATCGCTTGCTTGTCTCGGGCGAGGAAGACGAGGAGTATATCGAGGTCGTTCGTCGTGAGTGGTGCAGTCGGATTTAGTATAGTCGCGAAACGTTTCAAGAAGTCTGTCTTCGACAGTACCCGGTCAGCCGTGGATACGTGCTCCTTCATCTTCTTGAGTATCTCGTCCGCAGCAACTTCGACATTCTTGACGACGACGAAGTTCCCGACCTCCATCTTGGCCGGCGCCCGTACCTGCCCCAGTACCCCAACCTGCCGCAAGCTCCACTGAAGCACCTGCCATGGCGAGGGTATCCACGATGTCTTGTATATGCTCTCTTTTGACGACATGAAGTCCTTCAGAGGTATCATCTCCTTCTTTTGTACTGCCTCATGGAATACAGCCGGTAGACAGGTGGGCTTGCCATACTGCGGGTGTTGTAGGGCTCGCGCGAGCTCCTCGGCGGCTCGTATGTTCAGAAGATCGTGGGTGGTGCCCTGCCTCGGGATGACGCCCGCCCGCGAGGCGTCGACGAGAGCTTTCGTCCATGCGGCGATGTTCGCATGGTAGCCTTCGGGGTTTATCTCGAGCTGTTGCCGAAAGTCTGCATAGAGCGATGCAAGGCGATGCTGGCTGTGCTAGTCAGCAATGCAGCCCTGGAGGGTGTCGCCGATATATGGGTGGACTCACTTCTTGAAGGCATCTTCATGTTGCAGAACGAAATCTAGCAGTTCACTCATGTCGCGCTCTGGCTCGGGTACCCACTGCGCCCTGTTGTGCTGGGAACGGAAGAGCGAGCGCTTCCGCTTATGACGACTAAGCGTGGGGTCGCTGCTATAGATGGAGACGTGGGGGCCGCCGCTGGGGACCAGGTCGCGCGAGGGCTTGCGTTTAAGCATGTGCGCAGTCAAAAACAGCCAAGGGAGCAATACGATGACATTAGACGGTATCAATTAGGGTCTAGTGCAGTGCCGGATTCTATACAATAGTCGACTATCGAGCCGTGCGGGTGCGTGCATGTTTGCTCACGCGACGCGTTGTTTCAAGATCCAAACTTGGACTAAGTGCCTGGCCTTCCTTCATGGTGGTTGCGCACAACTCCTCGGTTCAGGCCATTCCCTGTACTCCAAGCGATACTCCCAACTCTAATGTTGGGAGCTCTCTACAGGCTTACGAGCCGCCATGACGCTTAGATCGTCACTCTGTGTGAATAGGTAGCTGTAGCCATACAGTCCTTTTCGCGAAAGCTCATAGAAAGCCGACATCGCTATTATATCGTAAGAGAGCCCTCTGAACAGGCATGCGGTCGTTGGGCTGCCTAAGGGTCCAGTGCATCCTTAATTCACTTCCTAACTACATTGATGCCTGAGTCCTTCTTCTCCATGAACTGTCGCATCTCCTCAAGATCGTCCATATCGTCGTCACTATCTTGATCCTTGGGCTTTGTAGGTGGTTTCGCGGCAGGCGGTGCTTGGGGAGGGTTCTGTGGTGGTGGGTCGCGCATCTCTTTGGTCTCATCTTCCCATGCCTTCCTCTCTTCTTCATCGAGCTCGTCCCGCCTGTCCAGCCACCTCTCCTGTACATCGCGAGCGTCCATAGTCGCCCCGTTCTCGCGCATGGCCATTTGCCACACTGTGTCATTTGCGCCCTCTATTCCACCCATCGCGAAGCCACCTGCACGATCGATAGCCCGCAGTAGCGTCATCATGCTCTTCTTATCCTCAACCGCCAGTGTCTCGAAGCCTACCAGCGCAAAGTCCTCGACGAGTTCTACGATAGCTTTGTTCAGCGCGGAGAACTTTGAGGTCGGTTCGTCGTCGTCCGGATCCACGTCCTCGTTTGCGCCGGCTATGGTGGGGCCCGGAATGCCGGACGTCTGTTCGCGGTTGAGGTGCGGCAGTAGGTATTGTAGATCCTGGACTTCGGTGTAGTAGTCGAGATTGAAGGGAAGATTGGGGTAGTTGCGGAGGTTATCGATCTTGGTGAGAACATTCAGGTGAGGCAGGTCCATCTGCAGCATGCTGCGCAGGGCGAGCAGGAGGGAGGAAACGTAGAGCGACGGTCGCGAGAGGATGATCGAGTCGGTCAGGTGGACGACGACGAGCTGGCGCATGTTAGCCTCCAGTTGCAAGCCACGGGCGGTGGGCGAATACTCGATACCCAAGTTTTTGTAGGCGGAAGAAGATGTTGCGAAGCGAGCCGTGGTGTGTGAAGAGCTCGACCTGGCCGGGGCAGTCGAAGAGGATGTAGTCATCTCCTAGTTCCTTCAGGCTCTCTTCTAGCCAGTCGAAGTTGTGTTCCAGCTCCTCGAGTGCAAACAGAATACCTCCGTTCGGACCCAGAGTCTCTTGCTCCATGATCTCGTCTATCGTGACCAGGTCCCGAACGTCTACGGCGGGCTGGTACGAGGTGTGATCGTTGGCGGGGTCGAGGTTGACGACAGAGCACTTGCGCTCGATGGCGCCCATGAACTGCTGCATGCCATCGCAGTACGTCGACTTGCCCGAGCCCGGCGGGCCTATGACGAGCTGTGCAAAGGGCATCGTGGTTGGTGTAAGCGTGACGAGGAAGTTGCTGGGGAACTTTTGGAGGGGCGTTAGCGCAGATCCCAAATGTTTGGCTTGCGGACTCCCGCGTCCTCGAGCTTCACTCCAACGCGCAGCTTCCACAACGGGCCGCAACACACATCGCCAACATGTCAAGTAAGTTACCCTTAGCTCCTCATAACGAGTATATAGCGACACAGACTCAGACTAACCCAGTCAGGCCAATTCGAGCTTGCGCAAAACCCGACGGAGCCCATCTCGTCGGTCAAGTTCGCGACCAACAACCCAACACGCCTGCTCGTCTCCTCCTGGGACCGCCATGTCTACCTCTACGATACGCACGCTGAGCCCGGCGGCAAGCTGCTCCAGAAATTCGAACACCGCGCGCCCGTGCTAGACGTCTGCTTCGGACGCGACGACAACGAGGCCTTTTCCTGCGGGCTCGACTGGGAGGTACGGAGAATCGACCTCGAGACGGGCGCGCAGACCATCATGTCTACGCACTCGCAGGGGGTTCGCAACGTTCTCTACTCCGCCCCGCACAACCTCCTCATCTCCTCGTCATGGGACTCGACACTGCACCTCCACGACCTGTCGCAACCCGGCGACTTCTCTGCCATCCGCCTGCCTTCCAAGCCCTTTTCCCTCTCCGCCTCGCCCACCAAACTAGTCGTCGCCATGGCCAGCCGCGCAGTCAACATCTACGAGCTGGACAAGCTGGCAGAAGCTGCCAAGACAGGCGGCGGTGAGGAAGTGGGAGTGGAGCCGTGGCAGCAGCGGGAGAGCTCTATGAAGTACATGACACGCGCCGTGTCTTGCATGCCAAATGACGCAGGATACTCTAGCTCGAGCATCGAGGGGCGTGTAGCAGTAGAGTGGTTCGACCCATCTGAAGAGTCGCAGTCGCGCAAGTACGCGTTCAAGTGCCACCGTCAAAACGTCGATGGCCAGGATATCGTCTACCCGGTTCACGCGCTCGCATACCACCCAGTCCACGGCACTTTCGCGACAGGAGGTGGAGACGGCATAGTCGCTCTGTGGGATGCAGTAGCAAAGAGGAGGATAAGACAGTACCAGAAGTTCCCTGCTAGCGTCCAGACCATCGACTTCTCCAACGACGGCAAATACGTAGCCATTGGAGTGAGTCCAGGCTTCGAGGACGGCGTCGACGACGTACCTGACGGCGTGACCAAAGTCTTCATTAGAGAACTGAGTGCGACCGAGGCGTCCGGCAAGAAAAAATAGGCACGATGATGTATGTTCACGGCTGTATGGGATTGCAAGATAAATATACCAGTTGATCAATCGAGCTTTAGATGGCGAACGCCTTCCACTACCGATCCCAAGTTTTCAAATCAACTGAGGTTGGTCTCCAAAATGTGATGCACGTGCTTCAGCTCAATTAACACGTGGAAAGGACCCGCAATCGCTCCTGCACACAGATGCCAATCTCGCCGCTCCTACACAGCCGCCGCGTCTTCTATGTCACCGACTCTAATCGCCCTCCAACCGGCATTGGTCGATGCGAAGCGCTTGGCAGATCTCCTCCCTCATACCTTTCCTGATGACACTGCGCTTGTTCTCCTCCCAGTTCCAGAGTTCAGCTCGATGGACGATCAGTACTTTCAGAACGTTTCTCGTTCGCTCGATCAAATGGAGCATGCCCGAAGCGAAGTCTCTTACGGAATCATCTTCGCTGAGCTCAGGTCTGTCTATAACGACGTGCACCTCCTCTGTCTGAAGATCGATGATCTTGAGTAAGGCTTCCGAGAGATGCTCGGTCTTTTCTTCTGGATCACCGTCCCAGGCAATATGCGACTGGATGTCGTACCAGTCCTGGCCTTTTCGGACCACTGCCGGATTCTTTTCTAATAGCTGGAAGATCAACCGCGCTAGTACATTCTGCAAGGTGCTTGATCTGGTGCAGATCTCAAAGGCAACTGGTCGGGGTTGAAATAGCCGGTCAAGCACGATATCCACAGCCACTGGAGATAGCCAGGACAGTGCCACTTCACCGACACCTTCTTCATTGCAGCCCGAGAGCATGAGAAGACAGGATGAACTCTCTTGCCAGGCGCGCGCCTTTCTTTCCGCCATCAAATCCGATTTGCATAGCTTTGAGCGGTGTCTATCGTCATCGAAGCTGGATGCTAGCGCCTTGCGATACTGCTTCAGCGAGAGCACGGCATCCTCGGTTCGATAACTCCCAATATTCAGCGCATCGCGTAACGAAACGACCCTGGTTCTGTCTTCACGCTCGTAACTATCTGTTGAATCTTAGTATATCGGCATGCATCATCGATGTCATACGTACCTTTGAGCTCGTTCGCAAGTTCATCCACGCGTTGCGCTAGGAGGACGTCGCATCTTATCCGGATACGCCGGAAGTTGTCCCTCATGTTTTGTTCAAGGACCTCAAAACCAAGTGGGTTTCCAAAATTGATCACTTGGCGTCCTGTCTCGTCGTTAGTGAAAGGAACTCAACCCTGGATGCTACAATGGCGCTATGTACCCCAAGTCGACCCAAGAAAGTAAGTTGTCGCTGCTCGCGCAAGCATGATGATGTCCTTGTAGGCATCAACAAGCATCAAGCCTAGTTTTGGCTCAGGGTAGATCTTCCGGTATACCTCCAGGTCTGGAAGACGATCAGATATCTGTTCCATTGCGGACACGATGGCTTCTTCGTTCTTGATCTTCAGCTTCACAGTCTTGCGCGGGTTAGCCATACTCCGATACGGCTTTCGTGGTTGTGCCCTACCGAGAAAAGCAACGCGAGTGTTGAGCCCGCTATTCCGCCGTATTGAGCGTCGGCTGTTTTGACAATGTCTAGGATTCCAGAGTAGGCATTTAGAAACCTATCGAACTGCATGACGAACCTCTCCGTCTTTGACCAGGCTTTTCGGACACCGTCAGATCGTCTCTGGTCCAGGGGAGTATGCGCTGCCCCAAGGTCTTCAGCGTGTTTGTGGACGTAGGTGGACAACACATCGAGTGGCATAGCATTTAGCGACTGCAGCAGATCATTCTCTTTCTTCGGATCTGTCAAGGGGGCATCATATTTCTCCGGCACGGAATTGAGAATGCTTCTCAGCTCTGCTTTGACTCCGAGCCCTGTCCGCTTGAGTTTACTACTCAGGTAACTGTTGTGTTCCGCAACGAACTGCGATAAGGGCAAATGTTTCCTATTGCAGTCAGTCGAACTCATAACATCCACAGACTTTCCCTCAGGGTACGCACATCCACTCTGCATTCGGGAACCATTGCGACACCGGTCTTCGTTGCTTTTCATCTTGCCTGATGTCCATCTTTGAGTTTACAACAGAGATGCGCCGGCTTTCGGGGGAGTTCACTGCAAGGAAGCGACCGAGCAGGGTATGCATGGCTCCTTCCCGTTGCTACTACCGCACAGCTGAAACTTGCATAGGTTACAACGCAGGTTACCTATCCACATAATCCAACAGTGCAGGGTTGCGACCAGCTTTAGAATTTCAATACGCGATGCATATATGGAGGCTGGGGGTGTACGAATCAGGGTTCAGGTTTTGCGCTTTGTCGCACTCAGCCTTGTGCGTGGCGCCTTCCAAGGTATCTCGTGTTTAGGCTGACACAAGTGAGATGACTGCAGCGACAACCCCGCGCCAACCGCTCAAACAAACCCTGGAAATTCAACGCCCAAAGATCAGGAACGCTCCGTTAGACCAATCGATGAGGTACTTGTGCCCAGTAATTGACAATACAGCCCACCCTTTCGAGTCCCGTCGGATATACACGACCCTGTCATCTTGTTGGATAATCTCGAATTACCAATCATGGCCCCCAATGTCGTGACCACTTCCGGTCAATACTTTTGGGGGCCTCGCGGTTGCCGACGGAAGGTGTCGCATCATGTAGGCAGGCGCGTATCTGACGTTCGCCAAAGATACACAAAAGGGCCCTCGCTACAAGCTTGCTCGCATCGCGTGTGAGCCCGATCGCAACTCCTCTCATCCCTTCCACAAAATGTCGCAGCAGCCTGTGATGGACGAGGCTACCGTTGGGGCAGACGAAGGCCTAGTATGACATTCCACGTTCGTGCGTCTGCAGGTTCTAATGGATACCTAGGACACGGCGAAGACCCTGGAAACAACTCAGGTCCAGGACCAGTACATCAAGCTACTTCTGAAGAAGATAGCCTTGCTTGAAGAACGCCTTTCGATAACTAACGACGATGATCGTGCGTCACAGGTATGCCTTTAAACCCCATGCTTTTGAGTCTATTCGCTGACTGCGGCGCAGAAAAATGACGGCAAATCCGAGGCACCTGTTGAGAAGAACGATGCCGAGGAGGAAGAGGAACCCCGATACGTCATCATTGTGAACAAGTGGGATCCTGACACTAGCGACTACAAAGATGACGAGGTCACGAAAAGTAACAAAGCTCTTGTGTTAACAATACTTCTCTTTTTAAGAGAACCTAATTAGATAAGTATATATAGATTTTAAAAGTTATAAGTTACTTACTACTTTACGTTACTACTATAGTACTATAAAATAAAAATAAAAAACTAAATTTATATTATACTTAAATATAAGGTAGAAGAAAAATATAAGATAGCTACTATAGTGTCTTTATTACTTATATAACTTATATACTATAGATAAACTAATTATTACTACTACTTTTTTAAGCTCTAATATTTAGCTTAGCTTTTATAGCTATATAGTACTTATAAGAATTTTTTTTAAGTTTTTTTACTTTAAATAGTTTACTACTATAAGTAGAGATATATTATAAGTAAAGAAATTTTTTCTTACTTATATTTTTTTTTTTCTTAAAAAGTAGATTATAAATATAAAAGAGTATTACTTTTATATTAGCTACTTTTAAAGTATATTATAGCGTTAATATTAAAGATATAGCTAATATATTAGAAATAATTAATAATAAGGCCTTTTTTATAGCTAAACTAGTAGTACTAGATAGCCTTCTTTAATAACTTTAAATACTTAAGTATACTTTAGTATTTATAGAATAGAAGTTTCTAGACTTTACTACTAACTTTATAAATAATTTATAAAAAAGATAAGTTAACTATATTTTTATAAGCTATAATATAAAAATTATAGACTTTAAGAATTAGAGTTATAGAATAGCTAGCTAGAGTAAATAAAATATATTATAGAACATATAATTGTATAGGTAATAATGGCCGCAGGTAAGACACAAGGGGAAAAGTAACGAGAAGAAGGAGATTGGACCCAAACCTGAAAGTCGCAGAGCATTTACCTTTCGCAAGTCTACCATGTTTCGGCCTCGTTATAACATTGTCGAAACAGTCCTATCAGTGGCCCAGATCGATTCCGAGCCATTGCAGAGGCTGATTGGCAGAATAACGTCAAAGCTCGGAGGAGACGAATTAGTCAAAAGCATCAGCTCTCCTTTCGAAGTTTTGGTCTGGACGTGGGCAGAAGCAGAAGATGAAGCGAAGAAGTTTGTGGAGAGCGAGACGCCCGAGGAAAAGCAAGCCCGTATCGACCTGAGCGAGCTTATGCGGATCATCTCCACATCTTCAGGTATCCTCCCTCTCGACCAGTACTTCAAAGAAAGGAACTTCTTCGTTAGTGAGAGCAGCATCTCGCACGCAGCTCTGTGGACGCTATTCCCTCCAGGTACCCTGATCGTCTCACACCCCTGCCTGGGTGAGCCTCAGATCTTCACCGTCGACTCGTGCGATTCTTTCATTCTACGAGAAGAACACACCTTCGATCTGACATGCTTCAGCTTCGACTGGACTGGTACTGAGTTTACCAGGGTACCGTTCGAGATGAGGATTCGTCACTGGGGTTCCAATCGGAAGAGCATTGCTGAATTACCGTTCTATCCGCTCAAATATTACACTAGCCCAGATGAACAAGACGTTTCATCGGATGACGCTATCGCTCGCCTCAAGGAACGACTTGTCGCTCGGGGGGAGAAGTTTGTCAAGCTCTGTAATCCCGGCAAAGGCAAACAAATGTTTACTTACTCCGGTGATGCGCACTTTCACACAGGACGTAGCTTCGTTGGGAACGATGATGATGAGGGGAGGCGCGTTCGACACGATGATGATACTACATCTTCTACCGACACCGGCGTCGGACGAATCAGCGAGGCTCGATACGTGCAAAAGAAGAAGGTAAGTCATTGCGTACTTCTAACTAGATTGCATTGCGTTTTTGTCTAACTTGGCTCTAGATTGATGGTACCACAATGGTCGATTTCACCTCTTTCTTCGAATATCTACCCCCGAACACTCCAATTCTAGGCCATCTTCCCCAGTTCTGTGGCCAACTGGAGAACCTCTCACCCGAGAAGCGCGCCAACAAGATATACAGAGACATGTACAAGACTCACTGGGATCGACACCCCTCTGGCAAAACCATGTCGTCAGAGCAACTCATGCATTGTCCTCCAAGAGTCCTCGGATACGCGCTGAAGCAGAAGAAGTGGGCGCAGCTCCTGGTAGAAAAGCTCAACCCTCCCAACGATGCCGATGCAAGTGTCTTCCGCGACAAGTTGCAGCTCGACCCGGACTCTAAAGAGCTGGTTAAATGGTCCGTGCAAGCACATGAATACGGGAAGGACGTCGACGCCAAGGGCGAATCCAAGAGCTTGCAAGATTTTGCGCCGGACAAGGGTAAGGGTCTCGTCATCATGCTCTACGGTAGGAGGAACCTTTCGCGCGATAGTATTCCACGGCCACTAATCAAATATAGGTCATCCCGGCGTCGGAAAAACTCTAACCGCAGAGAGTGTAGCTCTCATGGCCGGCAAGCCTTTACTTTCCGTTGGAGTATCTGACATCGGGATTGAAGGCGACAAAGTCGAAGCAAATCTGCAAAAGATATTCGACCTTGCAGGGAAATGGGAGGCCGTACTCCTCTTCGACGAGGCGGACGTTTTTCTCGAAGCGCGCGGTCGCGGGGAAAATGATCTGAGGCGTAATGCCATGGTCTCGGTACTCTTGCGCGTGCTAGAGTATTATGACGGCATACTGATCCTCACCACCAACCGCATGAGATCTTTTGACATCGCTGTCCAGAGTCGCATTCGTAAGTCTATCGACCGACACTTGCTGATTCAACGTTTTTTCCTCCTACTAATACACCTTCCCTAGACATTGCGATCAAATACGAAGAACTCATGCAATCGCAACAAATCGCCATTTTTGAATCCTTCCTCGTGCAACTCCAAGGCAAGAAACTCGTTCATAATTTCGATGACCTTATGCGATGGGTCGAGAAAGACAGTCGCAAACTCGGATTCAATGGCCGACAGATCAGGAATGTGGTGTCGACAGCTATGGGGATTGCTTTGGTGGATAAGGAGAATGGTGGGAAGCTGAAGAGAGAACATCTCATGCGCGTTGCCGAGCAGACGAAGCAGTTCAAGACTGATTTGATTGCTGAGGAGGAGATGTATAAGAGGTTGCAGAAGGGGATTTCTTGAGGGAATGTCGCAGTGAAGGTTTTAGTGCCTGCTAATTACCCTCCTCCCTGGGCCGTACTCAAATGCGTGTTCAGTGATGGCACGCCCGATGAACTTCCAGAACGATCAGTTCAGCTCAAGTCAGTCATCTGCAACGATGCTGAACCATTCATCCCTACGTGTATCAAGACTATCGCCACTAGAATGGTAAGCCCGTTGAGCCACAGTCTTAGTACATCCACGAGTCGGTTCGAAAAACACGATGAAAGTCGGCGAGGCGTGATGTATCCATGGGCTAAGCCGCTGCTTTTCAGTGCTTAGCGATGCCCAGTGTGTATTTTGAATCTTCTGGCGAAGGATCTCAGCCTGTCTTTGCCATGTTGAAAGAAGCTTGTCAGCATGCCGCTGAAGTGTGTCTAGGAAATGTCCCACACGGATACCATGTTCCTGGGTTACTCTAGAAATTAGACGCAAACGATTGTTATGCAACTGGGGAATGTATATGCCAAGTGTCTTGCAGGCAGGCTCCGTCAGGAACATGTCAGCTATCAGTTCTGCGAAGCGGCCGCCTGGTAGCGATCCTCGAAGTAGGCAAGGCTGGTTAGTACCTGCCTTCAAGGAAATCTCACATCGTCCGAGATTTAGCTCCATGCGGCTACCAAACAGTTCCATGATGTGAGGATTCATCTGGAACTGGCTGAGGTCTAGCCATCGTGGTACTTTGGCCACAGGTGTAGACGCTCCGATCATCCAACCAAACTGTCCGTAAGATCTTCGGATGGTCAGGTAAGCGTCTTCGGATAGTGAGTTGGCTTGAGTAATTCTGGCTGGGTAGCAGACTAGCGCATGCTCGTGTTGAGCTCTTTGCGACTCATCCGTAGTCTGATTCTCGACAATGGAAATCTCATCTTCCGACGGTTGCATCCATGACGGATATATGGCCATGTCGATAGGTTTGCCATGTTCAACTGGAGGACATGGAAAGTGAGAGCGGTACTGAGTTGAAAGGATATGTTCGATTGTACATCGCCAAAGACGATTCACGTCCCATGCGGTATGTTGAACCTGAGCCGTCGCTTGCCGGAGAATAAGTTCCAAGAGCTCGGGTATGAGGAGGAGGCGGTGGGTAGGAGTGAGTGGACTTATTGGTGCTGAAGCTTCAAGGTCCTTTGTTGCCGTAGGCTTTGTCGCTATAGCTCTCATTGCTACTGTGTGCTGCGGAACAGAACGAGACGTAAAGACAGCTACGCGCGCGTCGATAGCCCGAAGCGTCTGGCTCCGCCATTGCTCCACACTGGCTTCATGATGTTCCTTCGGGCGCTGAGGGGGCAGAGGCCATGGAATCCGAGGAGGATCTCGACCCATACGCTCCTCATCAAGCGCACCGACGTACAAAGCTGAATACCGGACCGAGTCGTAGTCCATGGAGGAAAGGTCTTCATCCGGGAAGTACTTCGCAATCAACAGGTCGTGGGGATGGTAAAACATGGCGAGATGAGTATGAGTGGTAGGAATGGCACGTCTTTATGCTGCAGCGGCGGAGGCACGTAATGTCCCGAGTCAAATTCCGCGCAGATGGATTGCTATCGCATCGCCCCTGCAGTTCTGGATGCAGGCTACAGCAGCTTCGACGGTTCTGCGAAGTGTCGGACGCGACGCGCTAAGTGGGGCTGGAGCTGGGCTGGGGCTATCGATTACGAGCAGTCGGCGGTACTTGCCAATGACGCAGCCTCGGCGCTTCACGGTTGTCTACGTTGCATTCCGAGTGATTGCGTTCAAACGCTTACGCCGCACAGCAGCTGATATATATTCATAAGAACTCACGCTCACTCCTAGTCAACTCACAACCTCTCATCTCACCGGTCTTGCTAGCTCATATCCACCGCGACCATGTCCACCCGCGGGCAGTTCAACACAAAGAACCCGACTATCAAGCGCATATGTACGCGAGCATTGGGCTGTGACCGGTGACAAGTAGCTGACACGTGTCGTAGTAAAGGAAGCATCGGAACTGTCGGTATCGCCCTCCTCAGACTACCACGCCGAACCTCTAGAAACCAACCTGTTCGAATGGCATTTCACAATCCGCGGCCCGCCCGAGCCATCACCGTACGCCGGCGGTATCTACCACGGCCGCATAGTCCTCCCGTCGACGTATCCTCTCCGTCCACCATCTTTCCGCTTCCTCACGCCCACTGGCCGCTTCGAAGTCAACCGCGAGATCTGTCTAAGCATATCGGGTCATCATGAAGAAACATGGCAACCGGCTTGGGGCGTGCGCACAGCCCTCGTTGCGATAAGGAGCTTTATGGACACGGATGCGAAGGGCCAGCTCGGCGGCATCGAATGCAGCAGGGAAGCACGCGAGCGCATGGCCAAGGACAGCGGCGCGTGGAAATGTGCCGGCTGTGCCAAGAGCAATGCTGACATCATGCAAGAGCGCGAGGAGCTCGTCAAGGAGGTTGAGGAGAAGGAAGGCAAGAGGAAAGATGACCAAGTCCCCGAAGAGCTGAGACTTGCCTATCGCGACGAGCTGGGTAAGGAAGGCCAGGACGACAAGCCGGTGGACAAGGGCAAGCAAAGGGCAGTAGAGAGTCCTGCTGAAGTCGCGTCGCCTGTCGCGCCATCAGTACCTACTGCTACAGTACCAGTCACAACCCAAACGCGACCCACCCCTGCTGTACCTACGGCTAGACCGACAAGGACAAGACCCACACCGCCGCTCCAACAGGTTGCCCAACGTAGTCCGGACCTGGCTTGGATCGATACTTGCATTTACGGAATAGTGGCCGCGTTATTGTTCATGGTGCTCAAGAGGTTCGTGTGAGCAAGCCATTCCAGGTTTACAGCTTTGCTTGAAGAGTCATGGTAAGATCGGCGCAGTGAAATTAGCACGGGTGTATTGGCGTTGAATGTCTGTTCATGTTCGTGGGGTATCACTTTCTGTTTCGCTTGAGTTATCTGGTGGTTACTCGCGTGCCATGCTGTTCGAAAGACCTGGATGAAATGGCATATTCCCCATCCATCTCTCAACCGATTCGAAGGGAGCTGGGGCGTTGGCGGTCCGTGTTCAATGGGATCATCACCGTAACAGTCGTACATGAGCCATGTGTGGTGTTCGCTTCAAATTCGACAGGTAGTACGAAAGGCTGGGAGTGTCTGAGACACATGAATCTTGATATTAGGATATGCCCGTGAAATACTGCTGGTCGCACTCAAAGCACATGTTCGATGCGAAACCCTATGTTGTCACGACAAGTTTCACACGTCTTGCTATCATGTGGGAGTAATTGAGGCGACAGTCATCTAGCCTATCGTCGCAGTATAGCGCAATTGCACAGGAAGATTAATTCAAGCGAGCCTTTTGAGGTCGCCAGTACGATGACATTGGGGTGCGCTATCATGGTTAACTTCCCGAGGTTAGCCTGCCATTAGCGTCTTGGCATCATCTGCACCTCGAGGTCCCTTGCTTTACAGCGTCCCATTCGCGACGCGACCATCCAAGTGCGCTCCACCCCGCTGATTTCGCGCAAACCTCTTGTACACGCGTTATAGAAACTCGTCACAATCTGTGCACGACAGAAATGGCGCGACTATCGCCGCGTGTACGCGACTGAGCAGCCCAGACATGTCCCTGATCCTGCACGAAGCCAGCAACCGTCTTAGCAGAAAGAACAACCAATATGTCGAAACCCGCCTCAACCCCCCACTCGGCCCGAGTGCAGAAGGTATGCACTCTCTGGACTCATGACGATAACTTTTCTAGAGATGAGATCATCTTCAATGGAGAGAAGTTCCCTGAGTTACCCACCAGTGCTGGTGCCCTCCTCCAGATTGTGGCGATACATGCAGACCACACTGTACGAGACTTTCACACAGGATCCAAGAGTCAGTCGCAAGACGCGACACACTTCAAAGCCGATGCGCTGCACAAGGATTCCAATATAGATCACCATCCGAAAAGAAACCGTCGGGATTCGATAACGATTACGATTGATGAGAATGGCTCGACCATTCCCGGTGGTCGCGAAATCGATGCGGAAAAAGCCTATGTTTTTGTCCCTAAACCGCTTCCTGCAGACTTGAAGACAAAGTATCTGAACCTACAAGTAAGATCTTCACGGATTAATCTTTTGCTCAACTAATAGCAACAAGGTTTCTATATCGGAGAGAATCGCGAAGGTATTCGGATTCCGCAATAGGATGCAAGTTGTAGTGACGGAGGCTGATGAAGATGCTCACGAAGCTCATCACGTAGAGATCGTGTTCCGTGATGAATACCTAGCACGCGCGGATATGTGGCGCATGGCCATTGCCGAGCTCAGCAAGCGTACCGTCTACCGTGGTCAACGACTACTTTTCATGGGTACCATCAAGGCCACGATAAAACACATATATATCAATGGCCAGTCTGTCCATTCGGGGTACTTCTCGCCAAAATCGAAGCCCATCTTTCGCAGCGAATCTGCACGATACACATTGTTCATCCAAATGTCCAGAGAGATGTGGGATTTCGATACCGAAGGCGCTGGCGAGATAATGTTCAACAAGGTTGTCAGTGGCTTCCTTCCAGACCTGTTCAAAAGGTGGTTGAGGATCAATGCGCGACACTTGGTCACCATCATACTGTTTACGAGGATGCAATATGATGGAGAGCTCTTGGCAGATCAACCTGAGGGGACGACGAGCAACATGTCCTCGGAGTCGCATTCGGGCACGTTTAGAGATTACTACAGAGTGGTCGTGAGCGATATGGCCAGCGGGGATTGGATCAACATCCTGTATCAGCTCAAGAAAGAGTTCAGGATGTTTCTCCGTGAAGTGTCTCTGGTCCGTAAGCCAGTAAAGCTTGTTTCTGAGAGTGAGGAGTCAAGCTCTGAAGACACTGCTACTGATATTGTCATAGCTGGTCGACCCTCTTCCGCAAGCCAAGGTAATATCCTGGAAGCCATCAATCTGGCTGCAGCCCAATTCGCGAAGGATTACATCGATCGAGATCTTGTTCGAACGGGTATCTCAGTCATCGTTGTTACTCCAGGTACTGGCGTCTTTGAAGTCGACTACAACATGCTCAAACTTACTACGGATACTCTTATTGGATCGGGTATCGGTATTGACCTCGTGTGTCTCTCGCCGATGCCTCTCCATTCCGTACCCTTGTTCAAGTACCAAACGCCTCGCTCAGTGTCCGATATGAAGGCTGAGCACGACAAAGAGCGCCACGGGGCCGCGAGCATGTCGCGCACAGAAGAAGATCAAACTCCACGCCAAAGCCAACCGGATTTCGGCTCTATGTCACGCGCATCCACTGTCCGACGCATACCGACAGACAACCCCCTTGACTCGTCAGACGGATGGAGGTTCGCAATGCCATATTGGGTAGACGTCTCCTTCTGGTCCGGAACATCCGAAGAGATATTGGAACTCACAAAGCCACGAAAGGCTGATAAGATCGTGAAAAAGTCGCGCAAGAAGGGTCGTATCTTTTCTCTACGTTGTCGTTTGTATGAGCTGCAAATGATGGGCGTTATGGAAAATGAGCTGGGCGACATTGCGATTCCCTACCTAGAAGAAGATCCAATGTACCCGCATCATCTGCGCGAATTGTTTGAGACCAACGAAGAGGGCGTTCGAGCTGCGCAAGCAGTCAAGCCTTCCGCAGCTGCAGCAGGCTCATATTCTTCGCGGGGTGACAAAGAATACACCGACGACCAGCTGGACGAGACAAGAGCTGCCCAGAAGGCCTGGATGGAGGCATACGATGGCGGAGTCTTTTCCCCTCTCATGGAAAGACACTCTACGTTGAACCAGCTCCAGGTTCAGAAGCGAAGGCTAAGCGACGCCATCACAAGCGGATCTCCGGAGCTGTCGCGAAGTCTGCGTCTGTCCTCCTCATTCCGCAGCACTGCTCCGTCACTTGGACAGTCAGCTCGGCCTCCGCCAGAAACAAGTTTTCCTCAACTCATGCATGAGAGATCTAAAGATCTTGAAAGCCAATCTCCTCGAGGAAGTACATACCGGATGCCTGATCTCCAAGGCGACGGATTGCCACGAGCCGATATATTGCGGCGGCAGAACAACATGACCAAGGGCATCGTTGGAACTGATCGCCGAGCGGCACATAAGAGAAATGGCTCCGGAGATTCCCAGGATCATCGTAGAGCTATGCACGTGAAGCCAAACAATTCCCCAGCTCCGAGTCGAAGATCATCTCCTCCAAGGCGAGCCGGACTCTTACCTATGACTAGTGCTGGGCCCGCCGCAACAACCCAGCCGGAACTGAAAAGTAGACCTTCAAACTGGTTCTTGAGGCAAATGAGCTTCGGTGGAAAAGCTGCGCCAGCTAAACCGACTCTTGGGGACGCCACCATCGATATCAGTCAGGGTAAAGTGAAGCCTGCAATGCTGACTGTTGAGAAGAATCAAAAGGGCGCTATCGCTGAAAGACTGGCAAGCACTCGTAACACTTCTGCAGGTAAGCCATCACAGCCGATTGCAATTAAACCTGCATCGCGAGCAGGGCCCACATCTGCTGAGTCACTGGCATCCAATCGCGCAAGCCGTTCGATCGAGACGGTCAGGGGTGCGCAATCCGACCGATCCAACGTCCCTTCGCAACCTGGTTCAGTCGTGAGAGATCCTGGATCTACATTTCTACTTGCAGGAGCGAGAGGGGCAGGCGAGCACGTTGGACTAAAGCCGGACTTGTCTTCTAGCGCAGGCGCTAGAGATGCTCCACGTACTCTGTCGCCAACAAGTGCAATCGCTCCTTGGGCAGTCTTGGTCAATCCTTGCAACCCGAAGAAAAACATCATAAGCTCCAAAAACCAGTATCGGCGTTGGCACCACGTCTTTCCTAGGACGTTGAGAGCAGGTACTGTAAAGTGGAGATCTTTGTGTTCACCTGCTGCAGTACCTTTAACGCATGAGTGGTTCCCTTCTGTTGAACAAATAGCAACGCAATACAACGAAAGCCCATACAAAATTACGCAAAATGAGGATGACGACATCCTGGAAGCACCAAAGAGCCGAGAGTCTCTCATCAAAGAGCTGATTGCCTTTCGCCTCTCGCACGGATTCCAGATCATTGTCGGCTCTTCCGTAGCTGAGTTTTCTGGGCGACAAGAGAAATCTCTTGCTAGCATTCTCGATCCTGAATACATGTCTAGTGATGGAGACACTATTTTCATGAGCGTCGGAAACAATATCCACCAGCTGGTATGTGTAGCCGGAGGAGAGGTCGAGGTAAGGAGATACAACAGGAAACCTACCACGGCCTTGGAGTCATCTGCTGGTATTGATACGCCCTTCCCATATAAGCCTTTCATCCGCACTGCGTTTGAGGACACCTATGATCCTCGAGAAATTGTGCTACGTCCACCACGGAGGGAATACAACTGGAACATCATTGATACCTTCTTGGCCGGCTATCACGACGAGTTTTCCGAAGTCCTGCGCTTCTGGCGAGCTCGATTCGTGCTCATACCAGTCGACATACCGGCTATGCATCGCAGGCCGTTGCCTGTGCAAGACTCACCCGAAGAGATACGTCTCGAGGGCATTCGTAAGCTTACCCAGCTATGGCAGAAGTTTCGCTACATTCCCCCAGAAGAGCGCTACTTCCAGCCAGCATCCGTCTTGAAGCAGAAGGACCCAAATCCGCTTGCGATCGAGTATCACACTCGCGATCCTTCGGCGGTTGTCGCGGCCGGTCCAGACCACTCTCTACTGAATGATACCGACAGCGAATTCCAGACTTCCATCTTCTCGGATGCGGAAAAGTATCACACATCCAGTATAGACATCAAGAAACTTGCGGAAGATCTT